TTACCTATGTATGGAATCGTGTGTTTTACTTTTTTTATAATATTAGAAGCTATCAATGTTCTATTATTTCAAAAATATGAGTTAAATACTTATAAGCTATACAAATTGTACCAGTTTAATGAAAATGTTGGAGCCAAATAACCACTAAACTCTTCAGAAAATTTGGCACAGTACTCAAAATAATATTTATTAGCTTTATGTATAGATCTAGAGCAAATACTAAACTATAACGGATAATTAAATATAAAATTAAAAGTTAATTACCATTAATAAATAACATACTAATATTTATAATAAATAACATGCATATAACTTATATCTAGTAATGGAAAATAGGTATCTCGAAGGCTCTCTCTAAAGTACTTGGCAAATATCTCTTTCAATTTTTCAATGGTTTCATGAGCTTAGTACTTAATAACATAATATGTCAAATGAAAATGCAATAGTCTAGAATTCTTTTCACTTTCCTTCTCCTCCTTCAAAGTGTTTACCTCAATATACATTATATCCTTGTTCATCTTCTAAGATGATACTTATCACCCGTGAGTATCCAAAAAAATGCTTATTCATTATTTGTAAATAAAATTCATTTTTATTTACAATTTATTAGATCTGTTAGAATACTTCAATTTAATTATAATTTGATTATTCCATCATAAAGATAGAAATTAATTATTAGAACAAATAAAATTCATTTTTATTCATATATATGCTGCTTCATAAATATTTATTTTATTAAACTAATTTAATATTAATAAAAGTTTTGTTAATTTAACTTTTTTTAAAGTAATAATTTAACATCTTTCAGTTAATAATTAATTATTTCTTTACTATATTGATTAATAATTACTTGAAATTTTATTTAATAAATTTGAATTTAACACAGCTTATTTTTAGGGAAATTTATGTACCTAGCATCCAATCCTTATGTATTTACATATAGCACCTTAAACATAGGTACAAAAAGGTATCTTCCACTTTTTGAGAGTTGTTATAGTGCCTCTTTTGATATAATATTAAGGATTTGTGTGTTATATGTGAAAATATAAAAGTTGAGGAGTTAGATATATAAATATATAAAGATTGTGTGCATGTATGTGTATGGCCCATATTTTTGTTAATGACATATTAAATAGTTATATATAAATTTATTTAATTATATGTGATACAATAATATAACAATTATTTATTACTTAATAATCACTTAAATTAATAAAAAATAATTTAAATAAAATAAAATTAAAAATCCTAAACCTATCTTCCCTTTTTCTATCCCCTGTCATGTCAGAAATCGTTATCTACGTCTCTCGCACACTCTCGGTTTCGTCCAAAACCATCTCACCTCTTTTGGTTTCACCCAAAGTTATCACAATTGAATTCTCGAGAAACAGTCTCAATTAGGCGCGCATTTTCTGTCCGGACACCTGACATACCTCTACATACGGTGCAGAAGTCAAGAATACCCTGCGCAGCATGTAGAGCTACGTCAGGAGTCCGCATAGAAAAAATTTTGCTCAATTAGAGTTAACCGGGAGGGCAATGACGAGATCGTTGCAGATAAAAACTATCAAAACTATCATCTTTCTCCTCCGCTCGCCCCGCTCCTACCTAAAATCAGAGGCAAAACTAGCATCCTTTTTTAAAAGGGGACAAACTGCCTCCCTAGACCTAACAAAAGAGGATCTAGGTCAACAAATAACAAAGTGCAAGAGTGACAAAACTAATATTTTAAAAGGAAATAAAAAAAGACCAAATTACCCTTCAAAAAAAGATATTCATAGTTTTATAGAATCATTTTTATTAAGGACCTACACCAACCTCACCAAAATGACACGGGGGCTTTCTTTAGGAGCTATTTCTTTAGGCATAATTTTTAAAATAATAAATATTTTTTAAATTTAACATTTTAAATCAAAAAAATAAAAAAGAAATATTTTATAAATCTACATAGTCGCCACATTGGCAGGCAACTTCGTCACGCAGGCAAAGTCGTCTGGTGATAATGTTGTCAGAATATTGTTTTAAATTAAAATTTGATGGGCTTATTAGAAATAGACTTCAAAACACTTAAAATACATCATACATGTAATACTCATCAAATAATAATATCGCACATATAAATAAATTGACAAAGTGGGATACATATAAATATTAAAATTTAAATATTCTATATATGCAAATACATAAAAAATCAAGTGGTAATATATACAGGTGAATGTTTCCGTATACATTTCAGAAAAACAAATTCATGTTTATAAGTATAAATGATTAAATTATATATGTATAAAGGATAAAATGATAAAAAAAACATTGAAACAAACTGGAAATAAAGTATAATTTTTAATATTAATTCAATTATTTAAACAAAAAAACACGTGCCAAAGTAGCTCACATGTGCTATAGGGCGACACGTGTCACTATGCATTTATATATATATATTTATATATAAATATATTTAAAATTTTGCCATTTCTTTTTACCTTCTCTCTCTAAACGGCTGCTATAAGACAAATATTAACAAAATTAAATTTGTAAATATAAGTAAGATAAAAATGAAATTAAATTAATGAAGTTATATTGGTTAATTAAAGTGTAAACGAGTCCACTTAATTTCAAGCCACCATTAGGTTTGTTTGTGGCAACAGTGCGATTTTTGAGCATCAGATTATTGTTCAACAGATAAGTTGTATCTGACCCAAATGGACCCTAAATCTGAGCTTAAATTTGATTAGTGTTTGTAAAAATAAACATATTTATTATACACTTCTCATTCAAAATAAAAATAATATTTTATCAAGTCAAACATTTTTTCACTTTGTAATAATAAATTCTTTGAATTTCTAATTTAATTATAAATAGCTTGAAAAGAATCCCTTTACAATAAATATCATTTTATTGCTTTGCTTTTTTAATCTTCGAATTTATACTAATAGTACTTTACTTATAGATGAAAAGATGAAATTGACTATTAAAAGGTGATATTAAATGCTAATTTTCATATAATATTTATAATTATAAAAATTTAGGCTTGAGAAAGGCGAATATCATAATTTTGGATGCTATGTATGTACTAATACCTTTTTTATTATTAATCATGTTCTTGGGGAAATTTTTGAGTGATTATCTTATATATATATATATATATATATATAATGTAAGATGTTAGGAAGATTGACATACATATCATTCAATTGCTATGCATTTACATATCCAACACTTATGCTTTAATTTTTACATACATGTTACCATAGCTTTGCATGAAAATATGCATTTTACTTTCTAAAGATTAATGTACGATCTTGGGCGTAGCCACAGAAGGGTGTTTGAAAGCGACTTCGGCTTGTGTTCGAACACTTGAGACGATAAGCAAAAGGAAGCAAGGGAAACTTAGGGTTGTTGTGAAGCCGTGCGTCGGAAATTTTGGTTGGTTCGTTATCCTCGCATTATTTTATGCTTGAAAAGCAATGCGGGCTGAGACGGGCATTGGATTAGGGCATCAAGTGAAAAAAAATGTTTTGATGCACATGACTTAGTTATAGCGACTGAGTTACGATAAGTATTTATACTTTATAAATTATAAATTTATATAATAATTAGAATATAAGCAATGCCTCAGGGGAGATTTTTCAGGATTTTTTTTGAGGTAGAAGAAGGTGCAATTACCAAATGTCATGATAATTGGCAAGGATGAGGAAATTAGTTAACTAATTATGCATAAATATGGCGCATAATAATTCATTAACTCAAAAAAAATAGCGGTTCTTTATTATTCCAATTAATATTTATTTCAACAAAACCGAGAATCTCAGTAAAAGAAAAAAAAAAAATACAAGTTTCCTTTTATAAAAGCATAAAATGATGGCTCAATTATATACATAAAATGAGCCTTCAATTTATTTTTTTTTTTAGAAACTATAAATTCAAATAATCAAAGAAGCAATATTTCGTTTCCAAAAATACAATTTGTTCCCTTTTTTAAGTCCAATATTTAGATTTTCGGAGATTATAACAAAAAAATAAAAAATAAAAATAAAAATCTGGTAAGTTATAATAGGAAACAAAAAGGTAGCCAAAAAAATTATATATAACATCAACCTCAAATTCATTCCACTAACTGATCGACTTGATCAAACTATGTCTCCTCATTCTGATCTGATATGTCCCTTCTCTTTCTCTCTTCTATCGCCTTCCACTTATTTTGAAATGAAGCCTATCAAGACACTTGATCTCGTCTCAAAGCTATCATCTCCCCTTCCACCTCCAAAAGATGCAACCACCACCGACGAAACAACGATGGATGAAATGCCGGAGTGGGTTGCGAAGCTCGCCGTCGATAAAGGAGCCACATTTGCATGGAAAGTAATGGATAAACAAATCTATGCTTCCGACGCAAGCGACCAACAGAACCGCTTCATGATAAAGAAGCAAATCGCAGAAGACCAGATAATGCCGATGATGACAGAAGAGGAGATTATAGCAGCGAATCTGATAATCACTTCAAATAAGCGGCGGATTTACGGCGAAGAAAAAGAAAAAGGAGAGAGAAAACAAGGGAGAGAACACGGGGGTCTTGAGGTGATGGTTTATAACAGAGGCGGATGGGGTTGTTTACTCTATCTGACGAGGTGGGATGCGAGCAAAGCTACTGTGCTTAAGGGAGCAAACTATAAAGAATTTTTTCGCCGGAGTTATTTTGTCGCCGGCAATCAGGTTGAGGTGTGGGCTTTCAGAAACGGAGATGGAAAGTTGTGCTTCGTAATTGGGAGCAAAATTGATCTTCAGCTTTCTCTTTAGGCGTAGATATATATAGATAAGAATGCAGGATGTATGTGGAGTTCCACATATATGATGTGATGCAAAGTACAAAGTGTGTTCTTCGTTAGATAATATTGCATTTCCTTATTCATTTTTTTTACAGTTTTAGATATGCAAGTGATTTATTAATCTAGTGAAGTTCTGCTCAGTTATTCTCGTCAGTTTCATGTCACCTCCCAAAAGAGCCTTTATGGGTGGTGGGCAGCCCATGACTTAAATACTGCTTTTCGGCCCTACACCTAGCCGACGTGGGACTATTTGTCTGTGACATTCTACTCCACCCAATCACGTGACGCCCTCGTCACGGATCGGCTCCACCGAGGGTCCCACTGGACCATGAAGAGTCCACACACCTGGCAGACAGTAATCTGCTCT